CGGCGGCGTGCGGTGCGGGCGGGGCCGGGCGAAGGCCGGACCGGAGGCGGAGGCGGACGGGGTCGGGGCTGGGCGAAGGCGGACGCGATGGGCGGCACGGCGGTAGGCTGCGGCCCAGGCGGGGTGGAATCGGCGGTGGGTGGCTGGATATACGGCGGGCCAGCGTCGGGGAGCTGCGGCGGGGTGGCGGCCGTGACGGGAGCTGTGGTGGGGTGGCGGCGAGCGGGAGGAAGAAGTGGGAGGGGGGAAAGGAAATGAAGAGCGGTTGGGCGTTGGCGCGCAGTCGCGGTTTTTACATCTCCTGCCTTCGGAGATGTAAATTTGCACCTCGAGGTGTTGAATTTTGCATCACCTGAAGGCGGAGATGTAATTCTTTTTTGCATATAGACCATATGTTGGAGAGCTGTTTTTTGCCTCAAAAGATCCAAAAGTTGGTTATTTTTACATATGAACCGTTTATTGGAGATGCTCTAACCTCATCCGCCGGTGCTACCATTGCTTCTCTTTGTGAAACCAGTGGTCTGGCGCTTATTGCCATGAGGCCTTGGAGCCGGACTTGTGCTCCTCCTCTTGGAGGTCATCGCCGGTGTCCTGAAACCGATAGTAGGACATGTCTGGCATGCGCTAGGGCAGTGGCATCACAGAGGACAAGACCAATATTGTTTGAGATCGGTCTTGATGGTGTTGTATGATGTAGTCGACCACAACTGTGGGGATGGGTGTGCCGAACGCGCGAATGGAAACGGCGAGTCCACGCCGAGCCCTTCTTTGGCGAGCGAACAACGACGGTGAGTGTAGGTGAATTCTAGAAAGGAGGTCTTTTTTCAGAGTTGGAGTGCCACTTTCCCTCTCCCTTACATTGGATTGGGTTGCATCATGTTTTTGGGTTGATCCTTCTGTGTGTTTCCACAGGCTCCACCTCCTGTTGTCGGAAGCGCAAGGAATGGGTTACATGCATCAATGCCCCTCTGCAATATTTCCTTTTACATCGGACTATTTCTTTACTACTCTTTACTAACTGCTAGGATGGGTTCATGTAATCTTTACTACTCTTAGCAATATTACGAATAGGAGTTTGTGGTCAGCAATGGTGGTGGGGACACCCGTTCTCATTTGAAAGGTGGATATTTTAATCATACAGAAGCAAGGAGCATATCAAAGTTATTTGTCGCTATTATGTTACAATGTTCTAAAGTATCTTTGCAGAAAAATATTCCTTGGGATTTAGTTCCATTTGCAAAGAAATGCCTTTATTTCTTGTATAGGGTTGCAGAGATATATCGTTTAAAAGAATAGTTTGGGTGCTATCAAATCAATGGTAAACACTTCTTTTTAGAGAAAAGACCATTGCCCAACTTTACAAATAAAGCCATAGAAGGTTCACAACATTGTCACACCCATACAATCAAATGCCACGGCAGCACAACAACAAGCACAACCCAACAGACCAAGTTCAACTTTAGGCACACAGGCCACAACCGGGTACCAAAACTAGAAGGTAGCTAAAGACAACCTGACGATTGCTTAAGGTTGCGCCCTTGGAGATAGAGAGATCGCCATAGCCCTGGCGCGTGAGATAAGCATATCTGTGGCGTCCACATTGCAGGTCTTAATCAAAGGCTTTAAGAGATTTAAAAATAATGTCAACTGATTTCGAAGGGAACACATGTTCAATGGTAAACTTATTTTGGGTTATCCAGAGAGCCCAAATGACTGCAGCAAAGTCAGGCCAGAAAACACGCCACAACTGCCCAAACAAAGAACTGACAAGAAGTAATAACTGAGCGAAACTAGACGGAGACCGCCGAGTACAGCTCCACGACAGGACCGCAAAATCATAAGAAGATAAAATATGGTTAGAATCTTCTGGCTGAGAACAAAGAGAGTATGTTGCCGCAACCCGAACATTACGCTTCCGAATTTGATCCCAAGACGCAGCAGCATGGAGCTTTCCACAAATAGCTTGCCAAAGGAAGATATAGATTTCAAGCAGAACACAAGCCCTCCAAACACCCTTGAACTTCAGAGTAATAGAACCCGAAATGAGCTTGCGGTAAAGCGACTTCACCAATAAAACACCCCGAGGAGGAATGAGGTTAGACCACCGAATCTGAAGTCTCCGAGAGCGAGGGGAAAGTGGAAGCAAGCTGATGCCACTGTTCCAAATCTGCATGAGAAAGGGAGCGACGAAAGGCCAAATGGCAACCAAAGTAGGCAAGATGATAAATAGTTATCTCAGAATTGCCACAAAAGGAAAAAAGAAGAGGGAAGGAAGAACATAAAGGGGTGGCCCCATGCCACCAAACAAGCAAAAATCAAGTAGATTCCCCATCATTAACAATAAATTTACGGTATGTTGTAGAGTTAAAATGATTATTATTTATTTGTTTACTAAGTAGCAACGTACCTACTGTGATAGTAGCGGCTGGGTGTGGATATGGTGTTGTAAAAAAGTTCGACAATACCAGTTGATGTGTATAAGAATTGTAAGTACACGACAGGTGTTGAACCATTAAAATATTTATATATGCAATCAGCAAAAAATGTATCCATTGCCCGTAGCAACGCACGGGCATTCTACTAGTAAGTTTAAATTTCAGCACGGATATCCTATGGTTCCATGTTGCCCGTGGAAGAAAATACAAGGCGAAAAGAGGCAGTGATGACGTTTCGCCCACAAGGGGAACACGTTTGCCTATCAAAACCACGAGGCTTTTTTTGAGAGAAGCTCCAATTTTTATAAGAAGTTTGTAATAAAGCTTGACCCAAATTGAACAATGTTTTTACCACAACATATATTTGAGACAATGTAAATTTTATTTAGCTTATAAACTATGAGATTTTATCTGGTTGTGAAATTATGAAATATTTATATTTTGTTTGAATTATACTGACTTGAGCGCAATTTTATTGATATGTTGCAAAAAAAACTTTAAAATGCCCGCAAACCGGCCGTGAGGATGAAAATGAATCCGAGCGTTGGACGCACTGCTGACCCAAACACAAAAGGAGGCAGACATACCAATTCAAACAGACAAAACACACGTTCGTTTGGGTTAGCACGTTGAAGTTTCTCCTCATGCCTACGATGTGGAACCGGAACGACAGCTCACTTTGCTGGTGTACGCCTGAGATGGAAGCAAAGTGACGGCTCGCCACTGTCAGTACGACAGCTCCGGTGAGGTCTCCCTCCGAATAGTGCATGGTGGTTGCGTACGTACTTGCGCGCGTTGACGGAACGGTGATGGCACGTGCCCGAAAGCCACCGCAAAACGGGAGACATCCCGCCGGCGAAACCACAGCGACGGCAACCAGCCAGCCAGCACAAGAAATCCAGCGGATTTCCTTCAGTCGTTCCCCGAGCAAACGGGGCAGCTCACGCCAACCGGCACAGTGTCTACATTCCTTACTCCGTATGGTTGCGTGGAGCCAGAAGCCACCGCAGCCTTTCCCCAATAAGTCCGCCACACGACGGCCGGCAGAGCCGCAGAGGCAGACACCACAATCAGGGGCCGGTGACATCGCCGTCCATCGCAGAAAAGTCCAGGTGAGATAGAGAGAGAGATCTTTCTCCGAGCTCAGCCAGCTAGGCTCCCGCGGTAGCAGTAGCGCCTAGCGGCCGGCGTGGAGAGAGGATGGGGACGGAGCCGACGATGCTGCAGCGGTGGTCGTCGTCGATGTGGGGGATGAGCGGGCGCGACCGGCTGCGGCTGTGGGAGGACAAGGCGTGGCGGGCGCACGCGGGCATGGCTTTCACGCAGCTCGCCTACGGCGGCTACCACGTCCTCACCAAGTCCGTGCTCAACGTCGGCATGAACCAGATCGTCTTCTGCGTCTACCGCGACCTCGTCGCGCTCGCCCTCCTCGCCCCCGCCGCCTACTCCCGAGAGAGGTACGTCGCACTATCATCCCCATGCCCATGGCTGCTCTGATCTAGAGTTCTAGACCAATTGACATCGAATTTGACTAGACGCTATTCGGGTGCGGATTCTGAATTTCCCGCAGGAGGGTGCGGCGCCCCGTCACCCCGCAGCTGCTCGGCTCCTTCGCGCTGCTTGGATTCACCGGGTAATTCCCCCACTCCTCCTCTTCCTCCTCATGCTGCTGCTGCTACTGCTGATGCCCGATGGAGCAATAAGAGTCACATTCTGACGGCGTGCAGGATCTTCGGGAACCAGCTCCTCTTCCTGCTCGGCCTCGGCTTCACCAACGCCTCCTACGCCGCCGCGTTCCAGCCCGCCATACCCGTCTTCACCTTCCTCCTCGCCGCAATCGTCGGGTGAGCAACCAATCAATCAACGGATGCACATACACGTTTCAGAGTTCTGACATCGCCTTGGATGCAAAATGCCAAACTGAACCGTAACAAACCCCGAAATGTCCCATTGCCCTGGATACACTTCTGGATTCTGATCAAATGCTGAACCAAAATGTTCTTATTCCAGTGTCGAAGTGATCAACGTCTTCACCAGAGACGGCCTCTTCAAGGTGGTCGGCACGGCCGTGTGCGTCTTCGGCGCCGTCCTCATGGTCTTCTACCGAGGCCCCTCCCTGATCGGCCTTGGAGGCGCCAATGCGCTGGACGGCGCCGACGCGTCGTGGAGCGGCAGTTCCTATCCTGCTCAGTGGCTGACGCCAGCCACGCTCCAGTTCAGTTTTGGAACCTGGAACCTTGGTGTCCTGTGCCTCTTAGGCAACTGCTTCCTCATGGGGGCTTATCTTGTCATACAGGTAATGCAGATTGGGTTGTTTGCTCTTAATGAGAACTATATCTGAATTTGTGTCCTTTTCTGCCGTGACTGATTCCAGGCCCCGGTGTTAGTAAAATATCCCGCGAGCTTATCCTTGACAGCCTATTCTTATTCATTTGCCACCATCTTCATGGTGTTGACTGGGGTATTTGCAACCAACGGGCTCCATGAGTGGGCGCTGACAGGGACCGAAATCATAGCCGTTCTATATGCTGTGAGTATCTGAATAATATCCATGGCTGCTGCCTGTGGATGACCATGCTAAGATGTGCTTGTTCTAACCACATTTCTTGCTTGCGCCAACAGGGAGTTGTTGCATCTTGTCTCAACTACGCAATCATGACTTGGGCGAACAAAATTCTTGGACCATCTCTGGTCGCCCTCTACAATCCGCTCCAACCAGCATGCTCTACCATCCTCTCAACTCTTTTTCTTGGTACCCCAATCTATCTAGGAAGGTATGGACCAACCAACACTCTACCCTATCTGCTATTTTAACACTGTGACATCATGAGTTGTTAGTTTCCGGTCATTCGAATTGGTCATTTCGCATTGTGTTTATCAGTTGAGCTTGGTACTCTTTCAATACCACCGTAATGGTGATGGTGCTTGGAGCTGATGTTGTTTTCCATGGATGCCGTTACTGAAATTTGATGTTTCTTTATTAGTTTGCCTGCTATAGAATTCCCACGAATTTATGCAGAACTAAATGCCCACCTTACCTGCAGCCTCATTGGAGGAGTCTTCATCATTGCTGGTCTATACCTGGTTACTTGGGCCCGTTACAATGAGGCGCAGAGAATACTGATGTCTGGTTATCTGAATCCTCTTCTGGTGGAGGTGGAGGATGCGCCAGCTCCCAAGAGACAGGAAAATTCCAGCTCAATTGATCCCTAAGACTCGGAGGAGAGATGACTCTGTTATTTTTCCAGAACAGCAGCAGCAGAATTACGTTGTATATTAGTATCAGAAAGCTTGTATTTTTACCTTCTCTACCATTGGATTAAGTTACATCTCATACCCAAATACCCTCAACATAAGCTGGAATGGAAATGGGTCGCAATTATCGTTCTCCTAGCAGCCGCAGAAGATGCTAACGATGTGCGATGATAGTTCAGTTTCAACAGTTGTCTTCATGGGTCAAGGAACAGCTTCAGTGATCAAAGGTAATTACTTCATCGAACCCAACTTGTTAATAGTTCATTAGTTATCATCGTAATTGCTTAATTGGCATATGGCTGCCATGATTGCTGGTGTTAACTTGCATTTTATCTTCTGCTTCAGCAGCCTCTATTACTGTCTGGGATCTGACTCTGCAATACAGTACAAACAAACTGTTCTTCGTTGATTTTCGTAATGCCATGCTTGCGAAGCAATTATGTCTGGAGCTCAGTGCATAAGTGGGAAAAATCAAAGTAGGAGTTCCAAATTCTTTGGCACATCAGGCCGCTGGAGTGTTCTTACTTTGCTTCTGTTGTATCTGCCTTCCACTGTTGTGTAAATTGTTGGCACGGTTACAAAACAATCTTGTGTTGCCCAACTGCTTATGTTTTACCCCCTTTGCTTGTATATAGACAAATTTTAGTGTGTTTGTTCTTCCATATATTTGTGAACGGTGGTAGTACTTGGACATGTTATTTTTCCTACAGTTTGGTAGTACTTGGCCATGTTATTTTACCTACAGTTTCTAGCGACAGGCTGCGGCACCACCGGCAAGGGCTCGCCATAACCTCACAAGAAATGGGTGCGTGAGGGAGGAAGCGGCGGCGTGGTGAGGGAGAAGAAAACGCAGCCATTGGATGCCAAAGGCAGCTGAAACGTAAAATGTTTTCAGCCACCTAATGCATATGCAATTGCACTACAAACATGGCCCTTAAGCAGCACTGGTTACGCCAAAGGGAATTCCGGCGTACTGATTCCAGTTAAACGGACATACTATACAAAACATAAGTGAGCTATGATGCAGTTACAGTGAGGTTAACACTGAATATTAAGCTCATTTTAAAAAGCCAAAACCAAACTTAGAGAAGAAAAGTCACACCAATGAATGGACCTTCGACCTCCAGGTAACAATTTACTAGTTTCATGGCTGACAATAATTTCAGCATCAATTCCATGCAATCAAAATGAACTGCGGGAATGTTAATAAAGTACTTCTCACCATTGCTTGAAGCATCAAAGATTCCATGCCATCAAAGTCACTAGGCGTGCTTCAAGCATATCATAATATCACATCATTGCAATGCCTCTTCAGTGGGGCAATGCAATAACAAAAGTGCATCGACAAAACCAGACTATTCATTGTTATAAAGGGCAGCGTTCAGTTGAGGTGATTATCCCCCAACATCAGTTGCCACACTCTAAGACGGTACCAAGCAAATTGACAGCAACCAGTTATTTAGGCTCAAGTTTAGTACATCTCAGATGTTCTGGAGCGCATAATATATCCGATTACAAGACAACCAAATATCTTAAAACGATCAACCGATCAAACGAGACAGTAGTCATAACAATCCATTGCGACGGCAAACAGAGACTTAGAAGAGGCGCTTGAAGCTGTGGAGGCCTCATTTCTGTTCATCGCTGCAATGGCAAATTCATTCATCATCAAACTGGGGGCAGCAAGGCTGCCAGTGATACCACCAGGAATATTGAGAATACTCCCAGGAGACCAATTCTGACCGATCGATCCATGATGCTTAATGAACATGGCATAAGTAACCGAATGGCAGGAAGAAAAAGGAGAGTTCAGCATTCTAAAGCATGGAGTTGTGTATGGAAACGATGTTGCTCCCTTGCTAAAAAGGGACAGCTTCATCAATAGCCGAGAATCGACGAGGTAAAATACTTCTTACGGCGGGATAAGAAACTCAAGCGCAAATCCCCGATTCATGCACTTTAGCCGCCAATTGGAGGAACTGGATCGACAGCAGATCTTTCAGATCTCTCGAGCGCCACTAGACATTAACATCAGCAAACAATTTGCCAGCATCTTAGAGTAGCGACAGGTAATTAAACATGGCAATGAGGCCACACGGCCTCATGTGTACAGGTAAAAAAAAATCACGCGTCTAGCACACGACACACCACACGCATCAGCAGCAGCAACAGCATCAATATTTTAGAGCAGCAGCAGCAGCAGCATCAGCGGCAGCATATAGTAAACTTAAGACAGCAGATGCAGGCGACGACCATAGTAGATCGGAGCGGACGACCGACCATAGAGGGGTTTGGATGCAAGGTAGGGTATGGGGGGTTTAGATTACCCCGTCTTCTTGAGGCTGCCGCGGACGCCGGGCTTGGGCTTAGAGGTGGAGGCGACGGCGGCCGCCGCCGCGGGAGCCGCGGCGGTGGAGCCGTGCAGGTTGTTGATCTTCTCGGGGTCGAAGGGGAGCTTGGGGTGGCGCGCCTCGTGGTGGATCTGCATCGACTTGACGTCGGGGGCCGTCACCTTGCAGAGCGGGCACTCCATCTTGGCGTGGCCGCCCTTCTCCTGCCCGAGCCGGTCCTTCTGCCCGGCCTTGCCCCCGCCGCGGTTGGTCGTCGCCGCGTCGATCTTAGCCGCGATCTCCTTGGCCGTGTGCTTCTTCGGCTTCGCCTTGCCCGTCATCTCCGACGACGAGGGTGGTTCCCTCCCGACGGCCCGCTGGAGCTCTCGCTTTCCGCCGCCGCCGCCGCCGCCGGCTCTCCTAACCCTACTTGCTGCGCTTGTCTTCTTTGCGTTTGACGGGACGGGGGTTGGGGGCGGCTCGGGGGCGGATGGGGGGACGCCAATTATTAGGCCCCCTGGGCGCGCGGCTCTGCCCGCTCCACCGTCCGATCTGAAGCCAGCGGCCCTGATGCTGATTGTAGGATTCCTCCTTTTTTTTAATATGATATACTAGATGAAAGAAAAATATATTGGTTGAGTGGAAGATGCGGCTTCTAGGGTTGCTCGCCGTGTCTTTGCATAACTTTTTTTACGTATATTCATTGTACCAATCGTATGAGAAGAAGATGCGGACCGTAGATTATTATCGTATAAGAAAAACAAATAGGATTGTAAGAGAATATTTCTTTCTCTTTTTTTAACAAAGAATATTTCTTTTTCTGCCAGGGAAAAAGAATACTACTGTGGTCTATGGTGGTGGAGGTTTGTTGGAGATTCTCCTCTACCGGGCAGTGGTGGAGCTTCATCGACACAAAGGTCATAGGGTAGTGCTTCCAACAGTTTTCAGACCTTTTAAAGCGTAAAGCCAGAAATGTTTCTTTAAAGATTTTCAAGTATAAAACTACTGTGAGATTGGTCCTCATAAAAAAACAACCACCAGGCGGGAGGTATCGGCCGCTACACTTGCAGTACCAAGCGAGAATATTTGTTTGCTGACGATCGATAATCGTTCAAATCAAAAGGCGCATATCAGCACTTTCTCCAAGGCAAATAACCCAGCAAAACATCCAAGAAAAAAAATAATAAGAGCACTTCAAAGTTGCCAACCATATCATGAGTAAGCAAGTTATTATACTTTTTTTATAGTAAGAGAAAAAACTTTGCCGTCTAAATTCACACGGAAGTACACGAAAACAGTCCCGACGATAACGGTTCTACAATGAAAACTAGTCACCGTAGCTTTCCACCAGAGGCCATTTCAGGTCTCATCACAGCGGCACTTCTCCGCTGTCGGCGATGACAACCTTGCTCTTTGGCGTCCCGTTCTGCTTGCCCTCGGCCTCAACCTTGTAGACCACGTCCATTCCAGACAACACCTTGCCGAACACGACGTGCTTGCCATCCAACCTAGAATACAGATTGTATATCATCAACAATAGAGTTCCAGCAGAACAGAAAGATTCAGCGCAAAATGCTGCAATCACAAAGAATCATGAAAATTACCAGCTCGTGGTTACAGTGGTGATGAAGAACTGGGATCCATTGGTATCTCTCCCAGCATTGGCCATGGAAAGGTAGCCTGCACCGACAACCAGTCAATGAAAAAGGAGGACATCTTAACCCGGCCTATCTTTCTACCGTAGCACTTGCAGTTGGAACTGGATTTCAAGAAACACGGATCATTACCTGGTCCAGTGTGCTTGAGCTTGAAGTTCTCATCGGCGAACTTTGTGCCGTAGATTGATTCACCGCCCCTTCCATCGCCAAGAGTGAAGTCACCTCCTTGGATCATGAAGCTGGGGATAATTCTGTGGAACGAACTCCCCTTGTAGTGGAGAGGCTTGCCGCTGTTGCCCATGCCTTTCTCTCCTGTATGACAATTAAGTGGGGCATGGTCAGCAACCACTAGCAGATATCATAGAGAGAAGCTACAATACAGACTGTAGTACTAGTAAAGCAGATATTCTGAATACAATGATATATGCAGTAAATAATGATAGGCCTTCGTAATACTCTATGGTGGAATATGAAGTGTAACGACAGTTATCCACCTTTTTGTTCATGAAGCAAAATATATTTTGACATATTAGACTAGGGAAGGGGAGCCTTGGCGCAGTGGTAAAGCTGCTGCCTTGTGACCATGAGGTCATGGGTTCAAGTCTTGGAAACAGCCTCTTACAGAAATGTAGGGAAAGGCTGCGTACTATAGACCCAAAGTGGTCGGACCCTTCCCTGGACCCTGCGCAAGCGGGAGCTACATGCACCAGGTTGCCCTTTTTTTTAGACTAGGCACTAGACAACTACGAACTCAACCAGTTACTTCATTTCTTCTCTTTTTTTCATATAGACATTCATATTTAGCACTTGTATGGTAGAGCAAGGGATGAACAATCAAAATTATGCACACAGGGCTACTCCTTGAGCTTACAACATAGAACACTTCAATTATGCTCGAGGGAGCTTGGAATTTAAACAGATCATCCCCAAAACTTTGCAGGCAAACAGGCTGTCACCATTCTCTCTACGTTCTTGTGTCTAGAATGGTAAACTTGGATTTGAAATAATGAGGAAACAATACAGGTAGCTTCCTTCTCTTCAAGGAAAAAGGTAAGCACAGCTTTGCCATGTACAAGCATAGCATGCATCAAATTAGTTATATAATTTCACTGTGCAGTTATGTTTTGACTTTCTGAGGAAGCCAATCATATTTGATAGGCTAAATTACTTGAAGATGTGAGCCAAAGTAACAAAGCAACTGTGATTAAATAGAGCAATTTTTTATTCCAATGGCCAGCCTTGCCATCAGACTAATCATCCAAAAACTTAAACAAGTAGACAGCATAACGCTTGTAACATACAAAAAACAGCATAAGTGGTAGGGAAGCATACCTGTGCAGAGTGCTCTGAAGTTCTCTGTAGGACAAAAGATATCAAGCCATTAGCATTTCTGTCATCCAATAGATGAGTACATGGTTTTTAACTCGAACAGCAAGGAGATGATACCTGCGGTTTTAGGAACAGCCTTGCCGAAAAGTCCCATGACAACCCGACCTATGAAAATTCAGAATCAATTTAAATGCCAACGGATCAATCAAACTATTAAGAAGCACACCAGTGAATATTTTTCTCACTAAACATAAAACATGATTAGGTGCAGTGCAGGCATCTAAACATGAAAATTCAGCCTCTAAACGATCCTAAGCAAAAGTAATCACTCGACGCGTAACTACAAACCGGGCTTTCTAGGCTAGGGCCAGGAATCAGGCATGCGATATCGGTTGTATCAGTAGCAGTCTACTGTCCGCCCCATACTGAGATGATACATCGCGCTGATCTGAAAATAAATCTGTTGCCACGGGTTCAGCACAGACCTGCGGGCTTGCCGTCGATCTCAATGTCGAAGTAGACCTTGTGCGTCACCTCCGACAGGTTCGACTTCTTACCCTGGAAACCACAAAGAAAATTGTAAGCACGCATCCATACACAGACACCAGATCAAACCCTAACAGACCAGCAACCCCAAACACATCTAATCCGCCCCGATCCGCGGCAAACAGATATCAGCGAGCAATCGTAGCAGAGGAACGATCAGATTGGCGCACGGAGGAGCGAGAGGGGGGAGCGGCGGAAAGTAAAGAGGAGGGGTTCGCGGGAGACGGACGAGGTGGATGAGCACCTGGGCGAGCACCAGGGTGGCGGCGACGAGCGCCAGCCACAGGCACAGGTGCGCCGGGGCCCTCGCCGCCGCGCTCCGCCTCCACGCCCTCATCGCCATCTCGGATCGTATCGCCGCGGACGAGAGAGAGAGAGGGCAGATCTGTTTAGTCGTTCCACTACGCAGCCTCCGAGAAGGAGAGTCCACGGGCGAGATAAACAGAGCTGGCCGTTTGGTTGACAGGTGAGGTCGAGCTGTCAGACTACGGCCTCACATCACAGGCTGCTCGCCCCCGACCGCACTCATGACTGCTCTTTTGCTTTGCAACAGCAACTCCTAGCACCAAATTCCACTCCTCCTCACATACGGAACACCAAATTCCACTCACTTTATATCCTATCAATTTCTTATAACTACAAAAAATGATTAAAAAATCACCAAACTGAAATTTCGCTAATTTTAGTGGGTACCAAAATACAAACCCTACTACTAAGGGCGTGTTCTGATCTCCTCCAGATTCTAACTTCACAAACTTTAGAAAAGTTTTTCAGCCGAACGCTTTTACACTAAGAAGCTAACTTCTGAAAGCCAAACAAAACCATAGTGCAATAATTTGGAGCTCCATCGGCCCAGCTCCATCGATTAGAGAATCAGAAGTTCACCCATATTTACAAGGAGTTGCCACTGCCAAAGAAAACGGTTCGCTGCCCCTCCTCGAAATAGTGCTACAGTATCGATCCCAACGAATCGCTAACCCTCCCTTCCGCCAAACAGGCCCGAACCCTCCAAGTTGGGTTGTAGTAATATGAGAAGCTGGCGATCGAAGCAGAACGATTCTGGATCGCCGGGTGAAGCAAGAAGTCACGGAAAGAAGCTGGATATATGAAGTTGGAGGAGATCAGAACACACCCTAACTCTTTTTCCCTGTTATGCCAAAAAAAAACTAGAGTAAAATGCACTAGTGGTCATTGAACTTATCGTGTACGCTCACTTTGAACACTGTACTTAAGAATACAGTCAATACGGTCATTATATACATGCTAAGATGATTATACGGTCACTGTGAAATTGTATAGCTCCGTATTCCATCCATTTGACTGGTCAAACAATCCACATGGCGTGTGGCCCTACCTGTCAATGGGTGGAAGTAGGAAGTAGAGGGAAAATAAAAATGCTGCTGTGGGGATTCGAACCCCATGCCTCGAGCTCATATGCGCGCAAGCTGACCAGTCGCTCTGGTTCCAATCTTATATCTAACTAGAGGACAAACCCTTTTATATCTTCTAGTCGTTCACGTGACAGCGTTGGGATATTTCTTTTTTGCGTATGTTCGTATAAGACCATTCTATTGGTTTAGATGATAGTGCATTCTAATTCATAGTGATTTCTTCCATATCAGTTTTAGCGTACCAAATTGCACCATCGCAAACGTAATTTGGCTAACGTATATATTTCTGTTGATAGCATTTATAAGCATAATTTGGAGTACTTAACAGGCGCATATTACTTTTATGCATTTAAACGTTTATTAATAAAATTTTATATAGACATATATTCTCTAGTCGTCTCGTGCTAAAAACAGAACAACGACGCCCACCAAATCTACTGGAGCTGCCGCTGCTGCTGCGGCCGCGTCACTGTCGAGCCACCGTCCACGCATGCATATTGAACAAAAGAAATTGAAGTGCTAATCCAATCTCGTTTTCTTGCGAGGGAAGTGCTAATGCAATTTTGGCCGTGAATCATATGTACGAGTACACAGTACTGCTAAAACAGCTTTTTAAATTCTAAAAGGCCCGACCACTGAAGCCGAAACGATTATGATTTAAATGCCAAATGACTCGCACGCAAAAGAAAAAAAAATGCAATGGCTGTCACGTGAATCCAGTAGAATATAAATTGCTTCTTGCTCAAGTAAGATAAGACGGGAGACATGTGGAGCTGGTTGTCCTGCTCGGGCAATAAGCGCGAGGGCGTGGTTTCGACTCCAGACAGACGCATAATTTTTATTTCCTCTTACTCCTTTCTTCCACCCACTGACAGGTAGGGCTCACACAGTCAGAGAAAAGAAAACTTACAAGGCCTTGTTTGACTAGTCAAATAGATGAAATACACAGCTATACGATCTACCATATAATCACCAATGATCGTATTGATCGTATTCTTAAGTACAATGACCAAAATGAGCGTATACGATAAGTTCAATGACCACTAGTGCATTTTACTCTCTTCTAACACTATTTCACCCTTCACAAAGAAGCACACAAGTATCTCGCGCAAATAAGATCAGAAACATAACAACTGATTTCGCTTAATGCATGTCACCCGCTCACTCTCAATACAGCAAGTGACTCTCTCTCACAAGACAAAGAAACATTACCAATTCATCCAATCCAATTTCATCAAGTATTTGACTCTTTTTTTAAAAGAGTTGATGACTCCTTTTCTACCTTGTAATGACTACTCCCACCGTTCAAAAATAAGTGTCGTGGTTTTGAACTAAAACCATGCCACTTATTTTGGGACGCATGGGGTAAACAAGAATTATGTGATTCATGGATCGGAAGTAATTACATTTAGGTCTTGCGATTAATTAACAACTAGGGTTTGTTACAACTCTATCATGTTGGTCGTCTAGTAAGTAGGTGTATCACACGTTTGTTGTGATCACTACTCCCTTCCTTCTAAAATAAGTGTCGTGGTTTCAGTTTTTTGAACTAAAATCATGACATTTATTTTGAAACGGAGAAAGTATTTTATAATACATATATGGTTCTATATTATTATTAGTTTGAGAAAGACATAAAATCATATATTAAGTATCATCGGTCCTTATAAAAAGACACCCTTGCAAAATCTTGGGGGAGACGAAGTCTTATTCGTCCCGCATCCATCGGCGGCGTGTCGTGAGCATAGCTTGATGCTGCCTCTGGGCCTCCGTATCGACGATCCTAACTTTTTGATATCCGTGAGCATGTAGAAGTAGCGATCGGGAAATCATTGATACAGACTAGGAAATGCTGACGATTGCGATTTGCAAAGCAAATCGACACCCTGGAGAAAAGGATGTCGATAAGGGGTTGTACAATCTCTGAGTACCACGGAAGCTGGCCAAATCCAGATAGATCCACCGGATACCTAAACCGTCTGGAACTCAAAAGACCCACCAAATATATAGCTACACACACGCTCCACCAGCGAAAAAACACACCAATGAAACGGGGAATAGGGACCTCCTCCAGCGAAAAAACATGCCCTCCACCCGCATAGAGAACATCATTCCTACCCTGGGGCAATGTTGTCGCTTCACTGCCCTAAACCACATACAAAGATTTTCTAAAGAAGATTTGAAACAAAACACCCATGCCGTTGTATGATAGGTCTGGATCTGATGTTGAACTCGCCCTTGTTCAAAACTATGCAACGAAGCCCTCTTCTATGATGATCCGACCAGGTTGGGTCACTGATGAAAACCTTCACGCTGGATTCCTCCGACCGACGTCGGCTTCACCAACACCGATGTCGTGCACCGCCTGACAAAGGCTGACACTCGAGCACACATCTCATTTGCCGTTTTACAACAACCCTCTAACGTCTCAGAGAAGGCCCTCGATCTAGGCCTCCCCGCCCCCGTCGGTGTCGCACGGGCTTTGCTCGGCGACGAGACAGATAGACATGTCAGCCAGGGTTACTTCTCCGCCTGTGTCATAGGAAAAAAGCGCTCCAAGAAACAAGGAACTGGATTTTCTTCTGGTTTACTAACCAATCAGTAGCTCCATTGTTTTCCTTTTATTCACGATCTTATGTTCTTGTTTGTTACGTGAGCCAATAAGCTATATAGAGTGGTTGATCTACGATTTTCAGATATACTACAACACATACTGCGTTTTTTCAGCAAGATGTCATCATTAGTCAAGCGTAACAAATGTGAATAATAGTATAGAAACGAAACTACTTCACAGACGACATTTGCTTGCACGATGCTGAGCCGATGCCAAATCCAACAACTTTCTGTACATTGGCGTCTTGAATGGATGGTGTGAGATGGAGTGTCGTGCTGAAATCGTCTGTGAATGTCGTCTGTATAGCAGTTCTCGTATAGAAACGCCATGAAAATGATGGAGTACCAACGATTGTTGCACCAGCCAACCTCTGAAATGGAGAAGTGGTAACAAATGTTGCATGGCACTTCACAAAGAATGGAGTATGCGGTGTTCGTTCTGATTATTACAAAGAATGGGAAGATCAGTATGGTCCGAAAATTGATTGTGAGGCTGGACAGTCAAGTACACCGGATCACCCGGTTTGGAAGAGGCTGTTGAAATTAAAACTACAGGGTAAAGTTAAAATCTTCATATGGAGATTCCTGCATAACACCATCCCATTTAAATGTACACTCGCCAACAAGCATATCTCTACTAGCGGACAATGCCCTATATGTCAGCAGGGGGCGGAGGATACCAAGCATGCGCTCTTCACATGTTCCCGTGCTAAGTTGATATGGTATGAGTTGGGCTTGCAAAATTTCATAGATGAGGCGCTCCTAGTTGACCGATCAGGTGCGAGGGGGGTGGAATCTCTTCTGTGCGATGACAACTTTCAGCATTAGTACATGGATATTGTTGATATACCTGAAGTCATAGCCTCTACTAGCTGGTATCCTTGGTGGCAGCGAAGGGAGCTAGCCAGAGGAGAGCAAGTTCAAGACCCGGTCCGCACAGCTATGGCCATCCAGGCCCTATCTTTGAATTTTGTCTGAGCGGCCGGGAAAACCAATCCAATGCCTCGTCAAAGTGCTCGGAAGAAACCATTGTCAGGGATGCAAGCGTTAAACGTGGATGCTTCATTCTCTGAAGAAGATCATTCTGGCTCCTGTGGAATGGTGGTGCGGGACCATAACAGCGGATTTATAGCTGCTGCAGTGACTCAAATGTCACATGTGGCTGATGCAGTGGCGGCAGAGGACGAGGCGATGCACCAAGGTTTCATGTTCATACGCGATCTTGGGTGTGATAGCATTTTGGTCCAATCCGACAATTTGATCGTCATGGATGCTTTGAGGATGAATGAAGGGTATGCTTTGGTGGCAGCGCCAATTCTTGAGGATTGCTGTAATTTGCTTAAATATTTCGAGAAGGTCATTATCAAACATTGTAATAAAGAGCCGAACATGGTTGCTCATGAGCGAGCTAGTTTTAGGAGGGGTAATCCGCCGATGGTGTGGTCGGATACACCTCCCTTTTTCATTCTGAATGTTTTAGCAAACGATGCAAGTTTATTATGAGTTAATAAAGCAGCCATGAAGGACTTCCCTAAAAAAAAGGCGCATCGGTTTTGATATATGCATTGCACACGATCTGTAGGACAAATCAGCTTGGATATGCCCGTTTGGATTGTCAACTGACACGTGAGGAAGCATAAAAGAGTAGGGCTCGGAAGAATTCTCAAAAACACATGAATAGGAAAAATAAAGTAGGATTAGAGTGTCTTGTCCTCTTGAATCCTATGAAATAATAAAACTACATGAATTCAGATGAACGTTTGATAGCACAGGAAAAGCAAAGGAAATTCCACCAAGTGGTTTGAGTGGATGGAAAATTTTCTCCAAGATACGAGTGCAAAAGAATCCCAAGTAAAAGCCCCTTGGATTTCAATCCAGCGAATCAAATAACGACAAACATAGGGAAAATTCTAAGGATCCAAATCCTCCACAAATTCTGCTAAATGCCTTTGAATCAAAGTAGCCGTGCCAAATTTCATCCATGAAATCACTTCGCACCAGGAGCGCGACCAACATTGCCCAGTTTTTCAACAATCAATGGTGTTGTCTGGTATTGGGCCTCAAGAAAAAAGAGAAGTCGCCCGGTATTATTGGAGCTGATGGACCAAATCTGAACTTTGCATATATTTGAACAGCAAAAATATGAACATATAAGAAAAGTCGCTGAAATCAAGTGTTGCAGAAGCAAATTGCAGAGATCCTCCAGGAAATGGAGTACTAGGTGTAGGTGGTAGCAACAAGAGTTGCACTTGTCCCAATGGTTTTGATTTGCATTGCACACTCTCACAGTACTACAACAGAAGACGTGACAAATGATCAGCGTAAAGAAGCTACTACTGATCTACTACGCAGAACAAGGTATCACCAACCAATGAAAGAGTTACTAGTTTGTACATTCACTGTCAGTAGTTGTACTAATAAAACCACCATGCCAGCACCATCATCTGATTATCTGTCGCCACGCAGAAGAGCGACACAGGGATTTGGCATCCACGCCTCAATCTTTGGATCCACTGGTTGATGGGCCTTTCTTTCCTCCGTACTTCTGCATTGGAAATTGCAAGCGAAGATTAGTAATCCGAAATATGGTAAATTCGCTAACTTTTGAGGTGCAGATCCTAGGGAGAATATGATGGTATGATGTTAAAAGCTTGCTAATCCATGGTGGACCAATACAATGCATCATATGACCAGCCAAGAATGACATGCTAGCTCCTGAGCTCCTAAACAGATATAGTTTAATCCAGACCAAAGTAGGAAAGTTCAATCAGGAAGCATTCACAGGGTTCTATTCTGACTTCCTCACGGGCTCACGGCACCAAGTAGTACATGTGACACTCGCAACTGTGCATCAATGATCAATCGGCATTGAACCTGTAATGACTGATGGGGCATGGAAAGAATTTTGCACTAATTTTGCAGAGATATTGCAGAAAGCACGATCTACTTGAGTTTAAAACCGCTGAAAAACTAATTCTCTTCCAACCAGCAGCAGACTCGTACCTGCTTCCCCATGCTGAATGGGACATACTTGTATTTGACCATATGTAAAATTTGCCGCTTCATTGTCAGGACAAAGAGCACAATCCAGTAGCAGAGTAGGATTGGCCAGAAGACAGGAACATCAAATACCGAGAAGAATGTCATGACAAAAGCAACGCAGAAGGCTTTTGTGATGGCATACCTGAAAATAGCAGCAGTAGGTTAGTGTGGTTTTTGTACATTTGCACAGCACACAGCACTAACAGATAAAAAGAGGCCAAGAACCCATAGGCACCGGAAAACAGAAATCTTTTTAGGCTAGCAACTATTCCATCCCATCTGATCTACAGCAGTAAAATTCACTACACAATAGTTATTTCATAGAAAAATGTTACACCAGCAGTAAAATTCACTACACAATAGTTACTTCATAGAAAAATGTTACTCCATGTGCACCGAAAGCAGCCAATGCATCTTTTCACTGAGCTTGCTGGGGAAAAGCAATGATGCTACAGAAGCAGTTCTTGAACTTAATCTGTACTCCGTGTGCAAAGTAACTGGAAAGAGATTGTCTGCACAATCCCATCCGAGCTTCTGAACCATACAACAGCAGACTAAATGCCACTGAAAGAACATCACAGTGGCTTGAAAAGCAATGCGGCAGACGGAGTTAACATATGCTATTTGCAAATTGGAAAGAGATTGATTGTAGAGTCCCATCTGAACTTCTGAACCATGCATACAACACCGAGACTACCACTGACAGAACACCGCAATGAATTAACAAGGAGTTTTCTTTGTTTAAAAGGATGGAAGGTTAACAGCTCTTCGTAGGGAAGTAACAGCAGTTAACAGGATGGAACTTGCACAAAAGTGCAAGAGCTCTCCTAGAAAATGCAACATATCGTTTCCAGAATATGCAACCTCAAGCCCATAGTTCAAAAAAGCGCTAGGCATAAATTGTGCGTTTTGCCACCGCCTTGCGCTTTAGTGACCAAAGTGTATGCTTTATGCGCAGATTAAGTGTAGTTATGCGCAATGCATTTTGCCAACGCCTAGAGCCTAGGCGTGCTTAAGCGCTCGCTTAGGCACGCCTTTTTAAACTATGCCCAAGCTACTGCACTACAAAACTTTAATTGCACAAAATTGCAAGAGTAAGTTCACTGAGAGAATCCCAGACTATGCAATCCTAAGCAATTGTGAGCTAGTGGCTCAGCTATGAAAGGAAACCCCTCAAGCAGGTCAACAAAATGGGTGTATCACATCTCTAACGTAGGAGCTGGCAAGGCACATGAATTAGCAAGGCTGCATACAGGATCCAGCTATCCACCCATTTACAAATGGGTTGTTGGTGAGCCCACTTGCTGGCAGGCGAATCTTGCGAAACTGCCGGGAAAAAAAAGCGAGCTGTTCGATCAAATCTGGGTCTCGAGAAGGGTATTGCATCTGATCTCGAATTCAGCACCAATTTCACGCAATCAAATCAAAGGGGACCGGAGACGGGAAGGGGGCAGCAGAAGAGACGGATATACCAGAACTTGAACTCGGGGAGGCGGCGGATGAATGGCTTGAACTCGTCGTTGCCGCGGGTGGGGAGCGCGGGGCCGGCCTGGTCGAGCGCCTCGAGCTCCGGGTCGACCATGGGGGAGAGGAAGCCGATGAGGAGGTTGAGGAGGTAGATGCCGAGGCCGTAGGAGACGACGTAGAAGCCCTGCACGTAGTAGACCCGCAGCGCGTAGACGGCGGCGGCCAGCAGCGTGCCCGCCCACCGCCCCGCCGTGTGCGGCGCCGCCCGGTCCAGGTAGTGCTGGA